ATTGGGATGGGAGTGTCAGAGACAGTGCGATTGGCACAGGACAGAGCGGAGTTTAGGGCTGTTGTACATAGGGTCGCTATGAGTCGCAGGTGACTCGACGGCACATAACAACAACAACAACAACAATGGGAAAGGTGTAGGGGGGGTCAGTAAAAGAAAGGAAGATCCTCCCCTAGATGAATTTGGCACAGTGACTACAACAATGGGCTTGAGCCGGACACAGGTTGTGCAGAATGGAGCAAAGTTTAGATCTGCTGTTCCTAGGGTCTGCGTCACAGTCAACTCCACAGCACATAACAACAACAACAACAACAAACAAACAAACAAACAAAAAAAACACCCTGCTTCCATTATTTACAATCTCTTAATTATTCCATTTGAGAGTTTTCTAAAGGGCAAAATTTCCTAGAAAGTATATTTCCTAAACAAAATCATACTCATTGCAGCCCATTCACTGTAACTCACAGGGACCATAAAGGGTCGGCAGAACTGCCTCACAGGGTTTCTAAGGCTGCAGATCTTTAAAAAACCATATTGCTACATTTCTCTTTCACACAGCAGCTGTGGTTCCAACCACAGACCTTCCAGTGTGCACCCTCGCACTTAACGACGGCACCTTGTATTTATTAAAGTGGTGGTAAATACATTATTTTGCCCTGGGAACTCTCAGAAATGGCAAGAAGTCAAAAGTAATGTGTAGGATTTGTTATCTCCGTGCTTGTAACATCCTAGAGCTGTCAATTACCTAACAGGCAAATGATTGATCGCTTAGTGGGAAAAACAAAAGACTCTTAGGAAGAATCAATAAATAAGGAAGTAATGAGTCAATGTAACCCAGAGGACCAAAGAAGTCCACATACTTAGAAGTTGCCTATCTCTCAAAAAAAGAAATCTACCTGTTTCCCTTTATATGGACTTAGGCTCCAACCAGGTAATGCTTGATTCCTGCAACACAATTCTGTGCCTTGGCTCACCTTAGCCCTCTGCCTTTAAAACCCCGTTTCCTCTTCACTAGTTCAATTTCCATAATTCCTTCAAGACCCCAGAGACTGCAGGCTCCCTGAGTGTAGAGATGGTGTTTTGCTTAGAGTTGTGTTTTCTATACCCAGTGTTGTTAAATAATAAATGTAAGATGAATTGACACTCATCAAAGTAGCCCTTTTCTGAACAGTTCTAACAGTTCTGCCTCACTCCTTCCCCATCCCATTCCATCCCCACATACACACACACTGGAGAAACTGTCTCCTTTCTGTATTCCTTAATCCTTTGATAGTATTTCTTTTTTCACACGTATCGCAATGCCAGGAACGCTCTAAGAAAACAAGGATGGTAAAGTGCAGTCATTCCTTTACTGCCAGAACTTTGCACAGTGCTTGAGGCACAGAGGGGCTCAATGCACCTTTGCTGAGTGAATAACTGAACGAAAGGCAGTGCGCAGCCCCGTAATATTAACACACTGGCTTCTCAAGCCTCTGAACATTATCTCAGCGATCTCCTTGCGCCAGCCCTGCCTCCGCTTCCTCCTCCAATGAGGCGGCTGCAGAGTCCTTGCCAACTCCCGACAGAAAGAGCATCTGCGTCCTCCAGCAGATTCAAGTCCAACTGCCTCCTGGGCTCCAAGGTCCCCAGGTCCCTCTAAAGCTCCATGTCGACTGTGCGGAGGCGGACGCCAAACACGCGGCCGGGCGGCTGGAAGCGGGCCCCCGGTACCCAGCGCAGACCCCGCGGCGCGCGAAAGCCGACCAGCCCGGGTGCCCACCTGCCGGGGAGCCGCCAGAGCCGCCGTTCCCGCCCGGTCCGCGGCTCCTGGTGGGCGGGCCACCAACCGCCCGGCCCTCGGCATCCGCGCTCCCGGAGGGGCGGGCTCTCCGCCGGCCCTGCTCTCTCCCCCGCCGCCCCGCGGCTCCCGCTCACTCAGCCCCGCGGCCCGGGCCCGGGGTGGGCAGCCCAGGTCCGGGGGCAGGGGCACGAGCTGCGGTTCTGGGGCGCCGCCCTGCGGCCCTGAGGCCTCCGCCACGGGCCTCGGCCCACGGTCCCCGGACTCCGACGTCCTGCCAGGCTCCGGGGTGATGGGGTGAGGGGCCCCGACACAAGGCGCACTGACCTGGAAGTGCAGCGCCATCTTCCCGGGAGGCGGCGCCGGCCGGTCAGCCCCGGAGCTGGAGGGGAGGGAGCAGAGGCGGGAGCCGCCGAAGCCCCAGCTGCCCGCGGGGTCCCTGCGCCGCTACTTCTCCGCCTCGGCCGCGCGAGGCCTTCGCCTTCGAAGCACCAGACAGGGCGGGGCAACGAGGCTGGGCGAGCCAGGTGGGTCGGCAGGGGCGGGCCCACCTCCTCCGGGCTCAAGTTTCAACCGATACTTCAGTGGTTCAAGCCCTCTAACCTCTGCCCTTTGACTCCTCCACCATGTCTTAACTGTCATCTTTGAATCTTCATTCATTCTTGACTCTTAAATCTCCCACGCACTTTCCTGACTCCTCATCCCTAAAGCTCAATGATAGTTCGCGGCTCTTGACTTCTTGGTGGCGCAGTGGTTGAGTGTTTGGCAGCTAATCCAAAGGATCAAGCCTACTAGCTGGAGAGAAGGATGTGGGAGCCTGCCTCTGTACATATTTATAGTCTTAGAAACCCTGTACGATAATTCGTGCACCTATTGGTCACTATGAGTCAGAAGGAACTAGACACTAGTGTTGGTTGTTGGTGTTTTTCTTTTTTTCCCCTTCTTGGCTTAGGATTCAATTGATGCCCCTCGTTGGTGCAAACATATTTTGCTGCTAACCTAAAGTTTGGCGGCAGGTCTACCCTGAAGTGACTCAAAAGAAAGACTTTGTATCTGCTCTCCAATAATCATCCATTGAAAACCCTCTATAGCACTGTTTTTCTCTCATAGACACAGGGTTGAGTACCTAGTTAGCAATGACTGCAGGGAGAATTTCAAGAATGTCGCAATTACCCCTATGCCTGATCACTTCTTGAGAAACTGATGTCCAACGTGACCAGAGCAGCGAACAAAGCAAACACCAGACCAGACAATGGACTCTTATAAGGCTCTGAGCCTAATCACAAAAGCCCAGACCCAAGTAAATAGCCCCAAATTCTGAGCAAAACACCATCTCCCCTGGTTTCCCCTAAAAACTCTATAAAAAGAAACCGCCCTGTACTGCACTCTGCCACTTTGACCTTCTCTGCTCATGGTCAATTGGTGTACCTCTCAGACCATGCAACAAAGGCCTGTTCATTTCTTGGGACCGGCTTCTGTCTTTGTCTCTCTCGCTCTCCACTCTTTTTCTATCTAACTTATAAAGGCCTGTTCATTTCTTAGGACCAGCTTCTTTCCCTTTTGCCCTCAACTCTTTTTCTATCTAACAATATCCAGTAAGCAAGCCATATTTTTATTTCCACAGGCCAACTGCTCCAAGACAGACTGGTGACTTCCAGAACCCAATTTCCTTTGGGGATGTGGTGAAGGGATCATCTTATTTTCACTAAAATTTAGTTGGCAGTGTTTAAATGTTGTTAAGGGAGGCCTCTAGTGGCTTAATGATAAGGAGTTAGGTTGCCAACCCAAAAAACGTTCTATTCTAATCCTCCAGTTGCTCAGTCAGACAAAGATGGGAAATCTCCATGCAATTAACTGCCTGTGAAACCCTTTGAAGGGTCTGCTATGAATCAGTTCTTACCTTCAACATCCATACACACAAAAATATATGTTGTTAAACTGTAAAATTCTAGTTCATCTTTACTGTATTTCCTGCCAAATATTGCATTGAAATGAGAATATAAGCAGAAATAACTCAACATCAGCTCTTTATTTCTATCTAAAGTTGCATCTTTTCATGTGGGGTTATCCTTTAACTTGTAAACCTCTTTGTAATATTTCTTCTAGTTTAGGTCTGCTGATGACAAATTCTCTTAGCTTTTAATATGAAGGGAAAAATTTTAAACTTTGTTTTCTAATTAAAAAATCTAAGATAGTACAGTATCTGACAATGTTTCATTCTGGTATACATGAGGTTTCCAGAAATTGGAGCTGACCCAATGGTAACTAACAATAATAAAAGGGGTCTTTCCCCAGTTAATAATAGCAGTTAAGGGTTGTGGGTTTTTTTTTTTTTTCTTTTTATTGTGACTTCAACAAAAGTTTACAGAAGGTTGAGTTTTCATTCATTCATTGATACACATTTTCCTCCCTCCCTTTCTTTTCCCCCTCCTCTCCAATTCACTTTGTAATGCACTTCTTGTTCCAGATTGTTCATTGTCATACATATAAAGCCTAAACATACATTCCTTTCGGACAGTCCTTCATCTATTCCCATGCAGTGTTCATAATTAGTAACCTTCATTTTTAAATAATAATTTTGTTTGGCAATAGAATTCTCTATTCTTAAAGTAGAATTGACTTTTTTTCATTTTCAGCATTATTAAGATGTTTATGTTTTTTTCTAGTGAGAAGCCAACTGTCCATCTGACTTTCTCCCTTTTACTTCAAATGTAACTTTTCCCATTCCTCTCCTCACTTTAAAATGTTTTTCTCTTTAGTCTTCTATTTTAATATGGTGTAAATAAGAGTAATTTCTTTGTAATTATCCTGCACTATATTTAATATGCTGCTTACTCTATGTTCTGTAATTTTGAGGTTTTAATTTTTGAGGGTTTTTCTTAATGCTTTAATCTGACTATTTGTTACTGGCCTGTTACCCATTCATCAGAAACTGTTCTTTTGTCATTAAGCTGCTATGCAGGCCATATATGGGGTTGTTGATTTTAACATTACCTTGTGACTCCTCTTCCCAGTTATTAAGAAATAGATACTGTGGCTCTGGAAAATTCCTTCTCTTTATTTTAACATTTTAGTACATTTTCTTTACTTTCCTCTATTTTCTTTAACATTTCCGTCTTATTATTTGAACTCTTGATCTGAATCATCTGTGGGCCCTTCTGGGTTTTGATATTTGTGACTATTTTTTTTTTCTTCAGTTGGAAAACAGGTGCTTAACTCCTGCACCACCTAACAACAGCCCACCTGCCAAGTTACCTCTGGCTCCGAGCAACCCTATAGGACCTAGAAGAGCTGTCCCAGGGGTTTTCCAACGCTGGAGTAGTATTGTTTCCTTTTCATTTTAGCATCATAGATCATATGATTTTGTGATTCAAATGTCCCATGCCAATCCATTACTTTTTACCAGTGCCTAGTATATCAATATTTATGCATTCCACTTCTTCCTTAACAGTATCCAGTTTTCCTGCATCATACTTCTCACATTCCACTTTCCAATCATTAACATCTGTTTGTAACTGTTTGGAAGTGGATGGCCAGTCCTTTTCTCTAGCCTGCCTTAATTTGAGTGCTTATCTTTAGAGCAATATTTGCCAGACAGGCATTTTACCCCCCCCCCAAAAAAAAAGCTGATGAGAGTAAGCAAGTAACAGAAGAGATTGAGATTGTAAACAGCTTCATCTTGTTTAGCTCCATAATCAACACTCTTGGTACCAGCAGCCAAGAAATCAGAAGACAAATATCATTGGGAAAGTCAGGGACCTCTCCTGAGTATTGAAAAGCAGTGTTGTCAGTCTGGAGATGAAGGTATGTCTGATGCATCAGAGAGCTGGACAATGACTACGGATGATTGAAAAATTGATGCCTTTGAGCTGTGGTGCTGGAGAAGAGCATTGAGTATACTGTAGACTGGTAGGAAAACAAACAGGTTAGTCCTGGAGAGGGTGAAACCAGGCTGCTCCTTGGAGACAAGGATTCTGAAGCTTCATCTGACATACTTTAGGCATGTTGCAAGGAGGGACCAGTCCTTGGAGAGGGACATCATGTTTGGGAGAGTGGAGGGACAGCACAAGAGAGGAAGACCCTGGATGAAATGGATTCACTCAGTGACTGGCGTAATGGAGGTAGGTGTGTGAGAGACAATAAGTTTGGCTCAGGATAGAGCAGAGTTCAGAGTTAATGTACATAAGGTCACCATGAGTCCCAGGTGATGACAACACAGAACAAAAAAAGACAACAAACTTCTTTCTGGTATTCTTGGCTTTTGTTCCCATTCCCAAAAAAGGAGGCACAGACTGTTGAAATTAATATCCCATGCAAATAAAATCTTACTAAAGAGTATTTACAACCAGCTGGAACAGTGCATGGACAGTGAACTGCAGGAAATTCTGGTTACCCCAGCAACAATGGCAAAGTTCATGAGGGCATGAACTGAGGGCAGCAAAGAACAAATTATGGCAATGTTGTGGAGAGATAAGAACTCTTATTCACTGCTAGTGAAATGGAAAATGGTACGACCACTATGAAAGGCTGTCTAGTGCATTCTCAAAAAGTTGGAAATAGAAATACTATTTGACTCAGAAATTCCACTTCAGGCAATATGCCCTAAAGAAACCAGAGCCATGACTCAAACAGTTGTATGCACACACGTGTTTATTGCTCTGTTATTCACAATAGCAGAGAGATGGAAGCAACCCAACTGCCCATCAATAAACAAATGGATAGAAAAACTATGGTACAGTCACACATTGGAATACTACACAGCACTGAAAAACAAGGAGTTTGTAAACAACTCACAACCCTGGTGATCCTGGAGTACATTGTGCTTAGTTAAATATCACAGTCATAAAAAACCAAATATTGTTATAAGACCGGACAGACATGGGGTTTTGGAGTAAACTAGGAAAAGAGGGGGTAGATAATGAAGACTGCATTGAAACAAATGAAGGAAAGAACTGTTTAAAAGGAATATATGATTAAGTATTATATGTATGACAACATTCCAGATAAGAGGTGCATTGCAAAGTGGACTGGGGGAGGCGAAGGGGAAGAAGAAGGAAGAAAATGTGCAAAAAAAAAAAAGAAAGAAACCAGAACCTCAACTCAGATATATGCACACTCATGTTTATTGCTCCATTATTAATCGCAAAGAGATGAAAGAAATCCAAATGTCCATCAACAAACAAATGTATAGAAAAACTGTAGTA